GTGTGGGTGACATTGTGTTTAAACCTGAATTTTCTGCCTTCCAATTTGGAGTCAAAATGTACAGCAGTGTTAATGGAGTTTTGAATACTGCTGAATTTAAGAGAAAGGTAGTTCTGGCCACTTCACTGCTTGAAATCATAGTGTGGAGGGTTTTATGGGTTTTTTGTTTGTTTGTTTTAAGAACATTGAGATTTGTTTTCATTGTTTCAAAAAAGTCAGATACACTATTATTAGAAAATCTTGAAAAATGTATATCCTTGTGATGTTTTTGTTGTTCACATTTCTCCCCCATCCCCCCACTTCTATGAATTATTCCTCTTCCCCGGCTTATGTAATACCTAAGACGGGGTAAATCTAGTTTGAAGGCTTTACTTCCATTTGTTTCCTTTTGCTTTTCTATGTGAATACAATATAATCATTCTACTTGTACGGAATTGGTAAAAGATATATTTTTACAACAAAATCATCATGGGTATGCTCAAACCTATTTAAGTTTTCGAGGATCTAGAACTTATTTAGCCTACTCTAAATGCTTTTGAAAAGCTCAACTTTAAGAACATTTTCGCTCAAATGTAAAATTATAGAAATTGCTGCATGAATGCCAAAGTAATAAAGAGTATATTACACAGTGAAAGAAAGATCTATAGTATTTTTAATAATACCTGGATAAGTCATATGTTTGTAGAATTATGTCCTACGGTCCCTGGTGATCAATTACAGACTACTTCTGAATCTGAAATGCTGGAGCTGAGATAATAAAAATTCCTCCTATTGCAATTTCAAACTGAGGAGACCTGTGATTGTTTGAAATCTCAGAAGATCCATATGTGCAAATTATCGGAAATCAGGATATCAAAGTTCCACTCTTGATTGTTTCTTCAAGGCAAGCTTTTGTAGGTTCTGAGAAGTATACTTTCAAATTAAGTCAATTATACTGTAGCTTCTGGTTCATCTTTGAGACTGGAATAGTTTATTTCAAAATTTGTCTCCTTGTTAACTAGACACCATGACAGTGTTTGCATAGTGTGTTGTTAACCTCCCGTGGAAGGTTAAGCGGCTTCTTCTGCATCTAAATCCGTTGCTGTGGAAAATGACTTCAGCATTGCACACACCTCCCCGTGAATAGGGGACTGAAGACGTGCACCTGTGGGATTAGGTGTAGCAGCAGGAAGTAAGAGCATTTGCAGCGTATAATTAGCAAGGAATTTTTTTTCTCTCTTTCTAAACAGCATTTTCATCTCGCTAGGTTAACCAGTGATTAATGCTTGAAAAAAAACTTGCTGGAGCCTACACCCTTACTTAAACTTATTCGCTCACTGGTTTTCAATTACTTACGCAGCCGAAGTCAAGAGGCACTCTCTTTACCATACTTCATGTCCTTCCACATTTATTGATTCCTTTATGATCGTAGAGGAATTTTTTAGGTATTTGTGTCCTTTTATGGGGACTTTGTTAGTCAAATTTTGTTCTTTTTTGAATCAAATTAGAATTCGAGAATTCCTGTTTTGTGTTAGAGAGCACTGCCCTAATAAGATGGAGAAGTTAGTGCCCAGTGAACCAAGGATCTCAGAGATTTAAAATGGGGGGATGAAAAAAAGCATTGACTCTCAGTGGTATTTAATGCATAGTGTGCTTGCTATGTGGATTTTAAATGTTCTTTCCTCAATTTTGTTAAGAAAACTGCGATTACCAGTATAGCAGAGATTTCTAAACATAGCTCTGCAGAACACAACATTCTTGATTAAAAACTCATCCAAAACCACAGTTTTTGAAGTTTAGCAGACGTCTCCTTTGGAAGGGTAGTGGACGCCCTCCTGTACCAGCATGTGTAGGAATTCCTTGTCTCCTCCGCCTGGCAGCCTCGAGCATCCCATTCGTTTACACACACACACACACACACACACAAAAAAAAAAAAAAAAAAAAACCAGCGTGTTCAGTTTTTACTTAACAAAACCTCATTTCCTAATAAGATACCGTATAATGATGAAGTTAAATGCATAACATGTAATAATAGAATTAGATGCAGTGACTTCCAAAGTATGTAAATTTTACTGCCATAAAACAGAGTCTTTGCACAAAGGAGCACTGAACCAGTGATAATGTCTTCTATCCAAACACATTTGTACTGTAAGTAGAAACTGTTTAAAGGGAAAATTACATCTTTTTTTCAGCAATTTATCAGAGATAATTACCCTTCATACACTAAAGGAAGGGATAAAGAACTAGAATTCTAATTGGTAAATGTCACCAACTGTTGCAGTTACTCTTACTTGTGTATATTCTTTTAATGATTAGAGTCTCATGCCACAGCTACATGAAAATATATTCACTAGGTGTGAAATTCCCATATGTCACAGTTTCAAGAATAGGTAAACAGCTCAAAGATAAAGAAAGAAATAATGCTAATGAGAAATGTAAGAATTCTGGGTTTTGTTTTCCAGGCAAGTGGATCTTAATTTGCCAAAAGGGGAGGAAATACAATTTCAAAAAAAGAAAAGGACAAGCGCTTAATTTTGTTGAAATAAACTTTTAAATGAGCTTCACTTCACACCCTCAACCAGAGATTCTTCTTTCCTTAGAAAGTTGTAGAACTGTCTGCACCCATGGATTCAGTATCATTTCCCTTGGGTCTGCCAACGGGAACAGCATTTACTTTTCTTTTGGGTTTAAACTCTAAAGTGTTTGTTAGTTTTAGATGTTAGAAGATAAACTCTTCCTGGCTGGTGTTTCATTATGCCGAATGTTACCTTGAAGGAGATCAAAGAAACAGGAAAAAGGACCTTAGAGTCTACGGCCACGGCCACGTGTTTAAAGTCACTATTCCCCAGTGCCCCCAGCGACAGCTTCGTTTCCAATGAGGCTGATGGGTCAAGTGATTGACTACATACAACTCTCAAGCCTACTCTTCTGTGGAAAGGGAGAAATAAAACTGGGGTTGAGTTGGGGGAGAAATGGTAGAGAGAGCAAGCCTCGGGTTGGCATATTCCCTGCCTCCCAGTTCAGCCAGGCGGTGCCCACTGCAGCGTGTGCGTGCGTACGTCACAGAGGTTTATTTCCAGGCACCTGCCTGGAGCTCCCGAGCCTAGCCGCCTCACTACCCATCATACATAGAAATGTGTCGTCTGGTCATTTTCATTCTGTGCGGTACATTTTCTGAATGTTCTCACTTTCGGTGCTTTGACAAAGTTTGAGAAGCGTGGAGAGAAGTGCCTGTCTTACGGGTCAGCCGTCCTCAAGTATTAATAGTAATAAAATTTGTACAAATCACCCGACCTCTTCACTGGAAAAACTGATACATGACACATACTCACCCCCCCCCCCCACAAAAAAAAAGAACAAACAACCCTACGTTTCGTTCTTGGTTATCCTTGTCATTTCATTTAAACTTTCAAACCTTGCTTAGGAGAATTAGGTGGAAAAACAGTGAAGGAATGACTTGGGTAAGTTGCCTCCATTATGTTGAAACATAGTCGCCACGTGGTACATGGACGCTCTTCAAGGAAAGACCAGTGAAGACCTTTAAGTAGTTGTTTCAAATCATAACTAATAACTAATTTTGTTTATATTGGGACATGTTTGAAAGGATCCTTGACTGTACGTGGTGTGTATCTCCCTCTGCCCAAATGTAAGAGCAGTAAGAGCTTCCTGCGACTCTCAGGACCCAGAAGCCACTCCGTTACCAAGAAACCAGTTTAATTTTTGTTAATGAGATGTTCATTTCCTACACACTGGTGAAGAGATGGGCAGTTTTATCACCATATGTAAAATTTACTCCCCCCACACTCACCCCCCCAAAAAGCGATACGAACTTTTTGTTGTTCTTTAAGGAGAGGCGCTGCCTTATTCAGAACTATGACCTGTTTCCCCCTCAGTGGTAATAGTTAAATGACCCATATTCTCTTTCACCTCATTTCTTTGCAAGATTTACTTTAGCAAAATGAGTCCGTTGATAGAAGTTATAAGGTACATTAATGATGCAAGACCAGCTGACTCATCTGAGCATTAGCTCCACCATTCTGTTCTGATTAATGCCGTATTCTAATCAAACAGATAGCTCAGTACAGATTACGAATCAACCGCAAGTGTAGATCATCCAAATGAGTATTTTTATTAACTAGTCCAGCTATGTGAAACTTGAACTAAAGAGAAGTCCAGAAGAAAAACTTTCTAGAAGCCATTCAGGTGTTTGTCCCTTCCTGGGACTGATCTTGTAGACTCTGTAACAAGGAATAATTGTATTAACTGGCCTCTCTCCTCCGGCATTGCAAGACACCAGACGCTGGGTAACTTCGGAACGTTACGTGATTCCCACTTTAGACTCTTCTTAGAAAATTGGTTCATCAATATTCTTATTGTATTTCTAAAATAAAATAAATCTTTTACGTAGTATTGATGAATATAAATGGGTAGAAGCAATGGATAATCCTCAAAAATTCGGTTTACATTTCAGTTCGTGATCCTTTAAAATTTTTGCCCAATATCTTCCCAATAATATTTTACTCAATAAGAAAATGTAGCTTGTATGCCTTGAGCACCTAGAGTAGTTGAGAAGGGCAATCCAAGGAAAAGTAACGTTTTTGTTTTTTTATATGGATAACGAGCCAGAGACGGTGACAATTGACTATATTGGCAATTAAGAAATGATTATTGCAGTTGGGGACTTTTTTAAAAAATTCAGTTTTACTGCTTGGCATATTAACCTTTCAAGATAGCCCTTAAAGAAAAAAGATAACTGGTACTTTACAGCCACATGTCTCTCTACTGCTTTTAGTAATGATGAATGACTGTGACCTCGAGTTATGGACATCAGTAATAAACTTTTATTTATTTTAATTAGGGAATTTACTGAAGGTGCGCATTGTCAATTTTGGTATTGAGCATATTTTGCTAACGTAAGCCTTGAAATGATAGAGTGAATTATTTTCTAAGGTTGTGATTAAATAATACTTTGACCACTGAGACCTGATCTTTTATTCCCCACGCTCTGCTCCCACAACAGAAACCAGGAATGGATTTGGCAGATACCTATATCATGTTTGTTCGGCAAAACCAGGATATCCTTCGAGAGAAGGTCAATGAAGAAATGTATATAGAAAAGCTGTTTGATGTAAGTAACTGCCCTTGCAAGGCCTCCTGGCATCCTAGAAATATGTGCAGGAAAAACTGCCTTTGGCTGGTGTGTTTGCAAAGCAGGCTCCTCTCCCGGTCCTTTTTCCTCTGTGCAGCTAATATAGTTGATAATTTTATTTCTCTGACCGTTGACAGAAGCCTTAATTGGCTTCTTTTGTACATGAAAACTGTCACTGTTAGAATGAGAGTCTCAAAAACCTTCTGAGGTTAATTTTAACAAGCGGGATGATAGCCAGTTTATCACTGTGTACAGCATCATTTCCATAAACAGAATCATGCTGTAATGGATTTGGCTCCTCCTATAAAAGTTTTTCAAGTCCAAATAATGCTCCCCAGTTAAACAAAGACATAAACTGCACTGAAGCCAAATATCTGCCACTCCCCAGTTACTGAACATTTTTATCTTGATTTACAGCCCTGCTGCCCACTCACAATATAACCCCGCAGTTGTGTCAGGACAGAAGTCTTCATTTACCCTTGCCAACTCCTAGAAATGGGGAGGTTGTGGTCTTAGAGAGCGTGATCATTAAGTTTCACTTGTCTAGTGTCTGGAAAGGAAACTAAGAGAGCAATCCATTTCAATCACAATGTTGTCACTCATTTGTAATTATTTAACAGTCAAGTCAAAGGAAGTGGCACTTTGCTGGGTTGTAACTTCACATTATTCACAATGCTGATTCTGAAATGGAATATTTGCTTTGAACTGTATTTATTTATGTTACATCTCCCCTGCATTTTAGAAATGCTTTTCTGGCAGTTTCGTTTAATTATGCAAGTTACTGCAAATGTTTTCATAACAGCAATTCACGGGCTTCGTGGTGACACTTCAGCTGTGGCAGGTACAGAAGGTCTTGCTACGTCATCATCTCCACCATGGTCTGTTGTGTCAGTGTTCGCTGTTTGTCAGGTTGGGTGGTCAAAATGAATCTTCCCTTTCATATTTTACACTTCTAGCCTCTACCCAGGCTGTTTTACAATACAAGTATCATCTGTTTTAATAAGCTAAGTGTTAATATGTGTGAAAAGAATGATTTCCTAAAAGCTTTGATGCCCTGCAGGGGTAGAAAAATTATCATCTATCCAGCTGGCTCTTTTACAAAATACTGAAACCATATTAGCAACTTCTGCTTCCATTTGGTATTGCTCTGAATTTACAAGCATATGTTTTACTTCCAAATTCTCTTTTTACTTTTTTTTTTTTTTTTTTTTTTTTTTTTTTGCTTATGTGGTAATTTTCGAAAATGTTGAATAGGATAGGAAATTGGGTTGATGTTGTTCCCTTTATGTTTGCTCTTGGTGTAGCGAAAGCACGTGTTCTATGGTGCAAACAGGTAGACGCATCTGGAAATAGGCCACTGTAGGTAGGGGTGTGTGTGTGTGTGTGTGTGTGTGTGTGTGTGTGTGTGTCTGTCAATGTCTTCAATTTTTCATCCTGGTGACCTGTTTACTACAAAGCTTGCCAGCAGTTCATAGCAGAAGTAGAATTTCTTTCTTTATAAAGATATTACCTACTTCAACTCCAGCCCCTTCACCAAACTTTTTTCGAAGACTTTTTGTGTGACCACAATGACGAATGGAGCTAACTGAAGTGGATCCAAGGGGGCCGACATTAGAATCATGTCTAGTTGAGGGGCACCTGGCCGGCTCAGTTGACAGAGCATGCAACCCTTGATCTCAGGGTCGAGTTCAAGCCCCACCTTGGGCAAAGAGCTTGCTTAACACACACACACGCAAAATGATGCCTAGTTTAACTGTCCTGGTGAGGTACACTTTTCTTTGATGCCTAAGCATCTGACATGGCTGTAAGTTAGCTTTTGAAAGGAATGCTTGACAAGCAATTCTGGTTTGGTTGTGAAGGTTTTGTCATTTTGCATATCCCCAGTAGGACACTGGACTTGTTATTTGTAAAATAGTTATAATGTCCTTAAACATTCTAATATTTTTAAATTGCACATTTTTATTACTATAATTAAAAATAAAAAAGTAGACCCTAATTCTATTGATATGTCATCAAGAATAACATGTATGAGGGGCTACTAAGAGCCCCTAATTAGCCAAGACTGAATTTGCCTCAATTATAGTTAGTAAATGAGAGGTTATCAAGTATGTGTTGAAAGGTAAAGCAGAATGTGTATCTTAAGCAACAGATCATTACCAAGAGACATTATATAATTATTGGAAATCCTCTTGGCTGGAGCTTAAAATAATATTGTTAGGTGTCAAGAAACAGTTGAAAATAATGACCCTATAAATACTGTTGGCAACCTTAGTCTATTACAGAGAAAAAGATGGAAGAGAACAATTTTATTCAGGCCTCACGACAAACTTTTGCTATTCCAATTAAGTAAGAAGTAAATAGAAGGAAAGGAAAGAAACAGAGACTCCTTCAGCCGCAGAGGAAAATGTGCGCAGCACACCGCGCGTACATGCGAGCACCCTACAGATGTGAGTCAACGCTCTGGGGTTTGACCAACCCAGATAAGGGTAAAGGGGATCGAGGTTCTGGTCCTGCTGTGTGAGAGCATCCTTCCTCAAGAAGGATATGCTTTTAACCCGGTCGAGATTCCGCTTAGTTTTGGAAATGCCGCAAATTGCAACGTTTTTACATAAAAGCTACTCTGAAGGCACGTAGTCGTCCTGCCTCCAGTACCAACACTTCAACACTCGAGTGTCTTACTAAATCCTTTTCTGCATGACGCTCCACCCATGAGAAAAACTACTAAAAACTTTATGAAACTTTCCCTGATATTAGTAGTTACTTGTGGTGTTTCTGTCCTCAAAAACTTTTGATCATTTAAGCGTCTTAATTGTCCCTGATATGTGTACTGAAACACTTTAGGTTCCATTTGAATAGCTGTAGCAGTGCCTACGGACACATAATGACCATCGCCCTAGATTTGTGTGCATTGTTTGGGGACACCTCCTACAGTCGTCCATACACAGCCCGTGCAGCCACGGGCCACGACCCAGTCTCCTGAACGTCTCACGCTGCAATTATTACTGTCCTGGCCTCCATGGGCAAAAGTGTTTTTGCTCCTTATCTTCAAAGTCTTAAAGAGAAGGATGATTAAAATATGTATTCTCTTCAAGGTCCTAAAGAAGATAATCCTAGACTTTTACAGTAGGTCTTGAAACAGTAAAGCCAGAAGTACTCTTGCAAGATCAACAAAGTTAATATTAGGACAAATAACCAAGATACTCTCCATTCTGTAAGTGGTAAAATTTCTAAAACATTGTTTGCATAACAAATGATTTTTTTTTAATTCTAAATAAACGATGGCAGATTCATGTTGTTCCTAAAAGGAACTGAGTTTGTTTTAAGGTATATCCCTAATTCTCTCAAATTATCGCAGGAGTAATCCCAGCCCTAGCTGTCCCAGGGCACCTGCTTATACCAGGAGGTGGCTGGGCACTTCACTCGTTTCCAGCCCGCTCAGCCAGATGCCATCGTCCCCATTTGTCCTTATTTTCAGGGTTAAGAAATCTCCCACTTGAGGAAGACAAGCGACTTGTTGACTCAGACTTTGAAATTGTGCCTCTCCAGATTCAAAGTCTGTGCTGCCTCTATCATGCTTTCAACTTACAAAATCTGAAGTGGTAAAGCAGTCCTGGGGGAAGAGGGCCGGGCCAGGAGTCCACGACCCTGAGCCCCAGCCTCGGCTCCACCGCCGACTGTCAGGGTGGATTCCGAGAAGCTTTGTCGCCTGCTCAAATTGCAGCAGAGTCATCACATATAAACTGAAAAAACTGGTCTAGGATTTCAGCTGGTTTCTGAAATAGCTACCAGATTTTAAACCAAAGAAATTAAATGAGTTTTAATTTTAGCTGTGAGTGACGACAAAAATCAGCGGGCTGGTTGGATGCTGAGTCTCGCACCCCAGAGTGGCCAGTCGTAAGGTTGTCGTGGCGGTGAAAGCAGGGTGTCCCCCCAAGAAGCAGTACAAAGTGCAGTCGATAAAGTAGCAAGGAGATCCTATACGAAAATATGGCTGTGCTGTATGACACTCCGTGTATCTGCCACCAGGGTGCCGAGCCCCAAATTCAGAAAGTCAGTTGGAACTCGTCTACTCCGTATCCGTGCCGAGTCTGATCGACCAGAACATTCTAAACAGAGACCACCTATCCTCTCGAGTGAGTGGTCAGTGTTACACATGCTAAGTTTAAAGTCTACATGTTAAATTCACATTTTTCAGTTTGGAAAAATAGGTCTTATCTGGGTAAGAGAAACCCCAAGGAAGCTGTCCCGTGGCCAGAGGGTTCACCAGGGCGTCTTTCTGCGGGTCCGCAGGCTCTTGCACCACAGGCCGGGTTCCCTCTTACCTGTCAGCAACCGTGTCTAAGGTTCTATCAAATCAAAACCACCTACCACTTGTCTAGTCCCGCTCTGGCAGTTTGGCAAAGATTTTCTAATTCTTAAATCCCATCTTTAACGTCCACTCTGATGTTTTCTTCCCACCCGATGGGGCCTCAGGACCCTTGGTGAAGCCACGGGTGCCCGAGGGAGGGGACAGGCTGGGTAGGGCTCCAGAGCTTGGAGCTCCGGGTCCAGGGGGAGGTGGCTCCCGGCTGCAGCCGTGGCCCCGTGGTCGTTCTCTAGTGCCCACGAGTATCGGGGGCCGGCCAAGCTGCGCCTCTGGCCAAGCACGCACGCCGAACCCACCTACCTGCGGGCCTCCGTGCTGATGGGCATCGCCCTGCCCCAGGCCCTTTGAAACCATTTCATTTCAGCTCTCGTGTTGCTGAGGACACGTCGGGGTGCGGTGTTTAACTGGTAAATCATGCAGATTAAACGTTCTCTTGTGTTATAAGCTGATTATATATGTAATTGTTGAAGAGTTTCAACGAGATTTTTTTTAAAACGTTGTGATGCCTTGTAAACTTAAAAGTAATTCTTTACATGATAGTTAATCAGTTATATTCACCTAAATAGTATTTTACAAAGGATTCGTTTCTCAGGACTTCCCTGGAAAAGAATTCTTCTTTTGAGGAAAGAAACTCTAAACATTTTAACTAAAATGGACCTAAACTATATAAATGAGTCCAGTAGCCATTGTAAGACATGGTAACACACAAAGAAAACAAAAACCTGAACCCATCACAAGAGAGTATGTCTCTCAAAATAAAACTCCCTTTCCGTGTGTGCGCCCGCCGACTCTGGCCTCCCAGATACGGAAGGGCGGAGACGCTCAGATTTTGGAGCACAGGGTTTTGCACCAGGGCCCGAGCCTCGCAACGCAGGCATTTATCCATCTCCAGTTAAAGTCAACGCTACTGTCCTTGACCTTATTTAAAAATTCGGTTTATTATCCTGTTGCTTTCACAAGAGTAAGTGAAACAACAGAGCCTGGCCAGGAGCGGCTGCCTCATTCCGCCTTCTTCCCGGGCCCTCGCCGGTGTGTGTGTAGAGCTCCCTGTCTCCGGGTTCAGTCCTTCCCTCCGGAGGAATTTCCTCGTGTGTAATCCGCCTCTCCTGCGGATGCAGGCCGCCGCCCACTGCGAGTGGAGACTCCTTTGTCCTCTTGCATTTCTCATAGTTCCGCGGTATTATATAGTCTCTTGCATGTGAGTGTCCACTCACACACAGCAGTTTTCCCCTTTTTAATAATCTTTTACTTTCAAATGACCAGGAAGTTGTTGCATGAGCCACATAAATTCGTCTAGATTCCCATACAGAGGATTTTCGCTTTGACGTCTCTCTGTAAAAAGAATTGAAATAGCAGACACGAACTCTTGGACGACTAGGCCCCGCCATGATTTTCCTGCCAACACTCAAGGTTAAATGTCAACAACAGTCATTATTTTCCCGTTTCATCAATAGAAAGGGACGGATGATGTACGTTCGTTGACCTACTGGAGGCTCGAGAACCTGCCCATGTTGGGCGCCCGGCACCTCACTGTACTTGACGCAGATGAAAACTTTGATCTGTGTGTCGTGTGTGTAACTTTCAGCACCGTGTTATTTAGCTGCCGTGACGCACTGTCCCCCAGGTGGTTTTGGTTTTCTTGATTGTATTTCTGGGTTGTCTTACCTACAGTATTTGGACTCCTACTGAAATCATTTGACCTCTCTCAAGATAGTCACAGCCAAACCTGTTGTGCAGATTGCCTTTTCTACCTTAGTAGAGGCCATACAGAGCTTGCTCCGTAGCTACATCCCCCCCCCCCCCAAA